AAAAAATAATATTTATAGTTTTTCAATTTAAAAAAATAATAATTAACTATCTTTTAGAATACAGAGTTGACTATTAGCCTTATTAAATTTGACAAGAAAACCCAATAAAAGATAGCAATTAGTTTGTGGTATCAAGGTTTAAAAATATCTAAAAACACAAAACCCATTTAAAATTCCTTGCTACTGCAACAAACTACAGAATCCATAAGATTGCAATTAGTTTGTGGTATCAAACAGAGGGCGTCACTAAGTATAAAAATATCTAAATAAAAATCCATTTTAAAATTATTACCTGAAACTTTTTGTGGCAAATCGGGCATTCATGAGGCCATTCCTCCTCCGGTCTGTGACTAAGAAGATGCTTTTTAATTGCATGCTCAGACGATAGCTTCTTACCACACTCCGGACACTTAGCTTTCTTATTAGAATCATTATGAATCCTTTGAATGTGTACATCAAGACTTCGATATTTTTGAAATACTGCGTCACATTTATCACATTCATAACTAGAACTCTCCTCTTTAATGGCAATTATAGTTTCCACTCTCGTGAGACCAGTGAGAGTCCATGCGTTGTGATTGTGCTTCCTTAGACCCTTGTTGACAACGGTCTTTGGTTTTGGTTTGTCCTTCTTCTCTATTATCTTTCCTCTGAAAACTATCATGCCAGGTTCTAGTTTAGGGACTGGAGAATAGTTTGAGAGTGCACTACTACATATTGAATCTGATTTTTCACTCTTCATTTTCGACTTAGGAGGAACAGGTTTCTCCGTCTTTACCTTGATTGGTAGGACAGAACGGGAAGACTTTAATTTATTATGTTTCTTTTTTGGTCCACGCTTTTTAGGTTTTTTGATTTCAGACTCAGGGTCTAGAGAATCCTTCTCAATTCCTCGGAGTAATTTCGGAGCTTCTGTGATTAATATTTGTCCTGTTTCTACCTCGGTATCATTCTCAGCATTATCATTTACAATCATGGATAAAGAATATTCTCCAGGATTATCCTCCTCCTTATCCTCCTCATCCTCTCCATGCTCAGGCGAACACTCATCATCGTCTCCGGGCTCCAGAGGATTCTCATCTTCAGCCTCTTTACTCCCGGGACCATACACGTTCAGATGTTTTCTATCCTTTTCAGTTTCTTCATCGGAGTTTAATAGATCGTCGATGGAATCTGTTTCTAGTGCAGGTTCAGGACATTTCTCTTCAACTTGCTCAGAAGCATCTTGTTCGTGATCAGACTCGATAAGATCTATAAACTCTGGTGAGGGTCGGGCGGGAGTTTCTAAAACTTCAACTTCAGAACACTCGGATTCTCTTCGTTTCTTTTCCATACAAGGTTCTGGTTCCTGACACGGTATTGATCCTGAGTTTTGTCGGAAACTACTTCCACCACCGGCAGAACTCCAACTTACTGAATTCCCATTATCATTTCCATTCTCCGCAGGCAGCCGATCATTATTATCCGACCGGTCGGTAGAACCGGATAATCGAGACGGATTATCAGGATCCGGTGGAGGTGTATCTGGCGGATCATCGTCCTCGACCGGAACCCTGATCTTAAGATTGCCAAGGTTCAGGTTTGCATCGATCATCAAAATATCTTTGATTATCTTCTTCACATGCCACACTACAGAATATATTCAAATAAACAAGAAGAAAATTACTTCAATAAATTACACTTCACGTTTTAGTTGATAGAACTTGAAGGACTGCAGAAACAATTTAAGGAGACCATAAAGCGTCACATGCTGATTAACAACGGTACCTTAAGATTAAGATAATAAAACAGGGAAAAGTCCATAAATATTGCTCATACAAAGGTTAAAAGACACCATTGTGAATCGGACATAGAACAGTTTAAATGAAGGGTCACATTAAATTTCAGGTTCAATCTAATTATAGCGGAATAGCGGTAAGGCCACATTAAACTAAGCTAGTGGGGAGACCAAATAGTTCTACGATAGGCCGGGACCTGTAAAAAGTCTGGCCGCGCCATCAAAGTTGGAACCTAGCCGGATTATATCTGGGCCTAGTGCTGTGGATAGGATGGGCTAGGAGGCCGAGCGCTAAAATATTGCTAAAATATTCAGAACTGTCAAGATCATTACTTCAGGATTAGTCTTTGTTCCCCAATTACAATCTGCCTGTTATCAATTTAGGTGGATAAGGCTGCTTTTTCAGGGGTGGTCGAGGTATCGTGATTTAAAAAAATAAAAATTTAATCACCCGAAGTTTCTGGCCAATATATAGGTTAGGGCCTTACCACAACCCCAACAGTCAGAAATTACCAAATTTCATGCACATACCCTTCAAGAGCTTCTGAAACGTGCAAGAAACATCCATTTGATGGCAGAAAAATGGATGGACTATACTCATACTCAACATATGTGAGGTGAGAATTTAATAAATCTTAAATCAAATCAAGGAAATAATTGTAATATTTGAATGTAAAATATCAGATGGAAGATATAAAGTAGTAGTTTTAAACTAATAGCTGATAAATAGAAGGGAAATAAACGTCCCATAATTATTAATAGGTTAATGTAGGAAATTATATAGTGTAGCTAAAAATTAGAATTTGATGCCAGACCATAATAAAGCAATTGAGAAAGACCATGTTGATTTTACATAGAAACAAACCGTCCCTTGTACAGGGCCTGTTGCCCAGTTAGGGGTGGGTGGGTTGGTGGATGTCAACCTTGGGGCTCGGCTAAGATCAAGATCAAGATCAAGATCAAGATCAAGATCAAGATCAAGATCAAGATCAAGATCAAGATCAAGATCAAGATCAAGATCAAGATCAAGAGAGGTATTACAAGATCAAGTTCACCTGAGCGCTCTCTTGAGATGTTCCTTTTTAACTCCGGGTAGAATTATTTCTGCAATGCGGCCATCTTCCCCTTTAAGAATATTCTTCAAAAACTAAAAAAAAAATTATGAAAGTATTAAAATAAAGTAAAAAAATAAATGTCCAACCTTGCTCTGTGATGCTAGGAAGAATTTATGCCCGCTCAGGGTTCCATCATCACAGATAAATGTAAGATCAAGATGATATTTCCGAGCACAGATCTCCTTCATCATACCACTCAGGCTGTATTTCTTGGGCTGCGGAGTTGGACCGATCTGAACAACCGTCATGATGTCTGAAAATTAACAGATTTTTCCGTGAGGATATATTTTCTTTAAAAATCACCCCCCCCCCATGTTAGGTATGTTTACGCAGAGCTCCAAAATTGTTTTTATTTAATGGTTTTATCTGCTGAATTGGGGAAAATACATGAATTTTTAGAAGAAAATAAATATTATTTTGTCTTAAAATGAGGAGGAAAAAAAATCACCTTTTGATATCCCAATTTTTTATCCCATACCCCCCCCCCCACTTCCCAGTCACACCCACCCTGAATTATTCATTTAACAATATACAACATAATTTTTGTCATGTATTTATGGTGCCAGTACAAACGTCGGACCAGTTCAAACGTCGGACGGTACAAAACTAAGACTTACAAACAACGGACCAGGACAAACGTCGGACAAGTTCAAACATCGGACTGGGACAAACGTCGGACAAAGGAAAAAAAATTATTTAAATTTTAAGATTTTTTTTATTAAAAAGTTATTTCCTTTTATTGACTGGTCTAATAAAAAAGGAACTGAGTTCTTGCCAATAACTCAAATATTCTCATCCCTATACCTTCGCAACCTGGCAATGGTATTGACCTTAGATACTTTCAAACTTAAATGGTTTGATCTTATAGATTTCATAGGTTGAAATATTGAAGGTTATACGACATCGGGTTGCACAGATATAGGCATTGAAACATCAAAGTTTGTGACAATTGAACTTAACTCCTTTTTGGTCTGTTGTTTTATACAGTGCTACCTTCGAAGGATGAGACTTTATTCAGTTGTCTTTGATTTTTATCACAACAAGCGAGAGATTTTTAATTTATTTCTTTAAGCAATGGTACTTCTTTTTAACTCAACCAAAGTCCAACGTTTTGCCTTATAAATGTACCCGTCCGACGTTTGTACTGGTCCGATGTTTGTCTCAGTCCGACGTTTGTACCAGTTCGACGTTTGTACTAGTCCGAAGTTTGCAAGTACACGTTTGCACTCTCCGACCTTTGTAGCGTCCGACGTTTGTACTAATACCGTATTTATATTTACGGCTCACTATTCTTTCGGATCCTTTTCTCCGGTAAGTTCTTTAATTCTCAAGGTTGGAGAGAGAAATCTTCTTTTCCTGCTCAACATCATTTTCAACCTTTTCTCCTTCTCCTCTGGAGACAAACCTGGAGAGGACGGTTCTCTGGGAATTCCTGCTTCCGAATCATTACTTGAGATTGGAGATGGTTTGTTTATGAAAGAAGAATGTCTAGATCTTCGAGACTTTATAAATTTATCTAAATCAATATCATCTTGTCTGAACACTGAACTGGAGCTAAAATAAGTTGGATTAAGTTCTCTTCTTGATGTGTTTGAGTTCAGCAGAGGTTTCTTACACCTTGACAAGGAACTTTGCTCAGCTCCTTGTCCGAGGATGAAACAAGATCGAAATATGTCTCCTTTAAAAATAAAACTGCCATTTAATCTTCTAAAATGAGCCATATTAAGATTTCCAAGATTTAATCCTGACTTCATTTTCAAGGGTTGAGATCTTAAAAGCAACATTTTAGTTTCTAAAAGTAAGAAAAAACTAATATTGAAATAAATGCGGACAAGACATAAACCTACCAGCATATAATAAACAAAATCTGAAGGCAACAAAATCGATAGATGAACAATGTTATTTTTATTCATATCTATTATATTTCATATTTGAATCTAATGCGATCCAGAAAAATACAATAATCATAATTGTACTTGCAATTACTTAGATTTTCAACCATATTCGTGTGATACTCTTCGACTAATTCCGACCCGATTTAACATAATACATTTATACACACTGACACATCTAAACAGCTAGCTCTCTGTCTTATTAATATCTTCATAAATTACATAAACTTATTTCTATTTAGAACGTTGAAATGCTTAAAAAACGAATCCATTAGTTAAGGATATCAGTTAACAGATTTTAGTGGATAAGAATTTCTAAAACACAAAAGTTATCAACTGGAAACATATTAAATAAGCATTAAAAAACAGATTTACAAAAGATTAGAACAGATTAATCGTGTGTTTGCCATGAAAGATAAATACTATGTGGAAAGGAATAGGAGAAAGAGGTTGGTCTCTGTAATGTTAAAAATATACGATTATTAATGAATCATTTTGAAAAATTTAATAAGGCTAATAGAATTTTTTTTTTGCAGAAAATGCTAGATTTTTCGAGTATCATGTGCGTATTTTGGCGCTGAAGATTGGATATAATCTAATATGATATGGGACGCTCTGTATATTGTGAGAGAACAAGGAAGTTAAAAAATAAAGCTGTGTGGACCTAACCACTTAAAGATGATTCAGATTAAATAGCGCTGAACCAATTTTTGTTTAAAACTTATCATAAATCAAATCTTAAAACAATCATAACTAGCTCTTCTGTACTGAAACACTGAGGAACCATAACTTTTCCAGTTCCTTTTCACAAAACAATTTTTTGCTCTTGACAAAGAACTGTTTGCGGCATTTTCCTGACGCTTAAATTACTGCGCAGACTCAGATACCGGGGAAAATGCAACAAATATTATTTTTCCACCAAACTAAAAACTCCTTTGTACTTTTATGTTATTTGTTAAATTCACATATTTTATTTGAAACAAATTTGAAAATGGGTTTCCATGATTTTAAAAATTTAAAAATAAAGCTCTTAATTTGTACTTAAAACAACAAGTTTTGGCCTCGGGTCAGAAACAAATTAAAAAAAAAGGATTTGAAATAATGTCAGTAATAAGTTTTAGATCTATATTTTTAGTATCACATCAGAAAAATTGTAAATAGGTATTTTTTAGCAATTCTAAAACATTTAGTTTTTCTACATTTTGTAGGACATAGAATAAAAGCTGCGCCATCCCAGGTAGTGAAATTTTTCAATATCTGAATTAGAACAAAACTTTCTTTTTTAGATTTCACCAATTTAGTGAAATTAACGTTAAATCGACGCTGCCATCAAACAATCTGAATGTTTTATGAACTTTATTAGCATAGATAACATTAGTATGGAATACTTTCTGTGAAGACATTTAGCAGTTGTATAGTTCCACGTGTTGCACACAATTTTTTAGAACAAATTTCATTTTTTTATATACAATTCATTTGTTTACTGTAAAGAGTGTATTGTATAGATAATAATGTACTGAAAACCAACTGTGTGCGTTATAACAAAGCGCGCCAAGTTTATTCTAAAATTAATTTCTTCCTAATGTTTAAAGTATGAAAAATTGTCATCAAATATTAATCTAATTCAATTTTTATTTAAGGTAAGATGACGTCCAAACTCACTTTTCGGGCGAGGACCTTGGACGTCGCCAAGCCGATGGCGATTTACAGGGCGGATGATCTGCCGGAGTTAGCGGCTGAGAACGCCATTAATCGTGCCGTCCCCGCCCTTCCTACTGGAATGGAGAAGGAGGAGGAAACAGAGAAACATCTGCAGGATATTCTGGAAGCACAGAACAAAGGGTTAGTTAAGAAGGTTGCGGAGCTAGTGATCCCTACTCCGGAGGTTGTTGAAGAGCAGAAAGCTATGCTTGAGACTCTATATAAAGGAGTGTTTAAGCAACCTCGGCAATATATTCATGTTCAACCTCTGACAGCGGATCAGGATAAACCTGACTATGATATGGACGACGAGGATTTTAAGTTTTTTAACGACGAACTTCGAGAACGGAGAAAGTTCGAAGTTTCCCTTGTGACGTTTGAAGATATGATTGACAGATTGGAAAAGAACTCCGGTCAGACCGTCATGAGTTTAAAGGAAGCAAAAATGTTGCTAAAAGAAGATGATGATTTAATTCTTGCAGTTTATGATTACTGGTTGAATAAACGTCTTGAGACACAGCAGTGCTTAATCCCTCAGGTGAAATGTGAACCAAACCGTGACCAAACAACCGGATCACAAACTGCTAATCCTTACGTTGCGTTCCGTCGCAGGACGGAGAAGATGCAGACCAGGAAGAATCGTAAGAACGAGGAGGATTCCTACATGAGAATGTTGAAACTAAGACGGGATATTAACAGGGTTGTGATGCTTCTCGACATGGTGAAACGGAGAGAGAAGTTAAAGAAGGAAAACTTAAATCTAATCTCCGATGTTTATGATAAACGTTACCAGGCAGAGGACTGGGACGGATCTATATATCAGCAGATTCAGCTTCAACGACCTCCCAAGGTTTCTCTCCAGCAATATCCTCTATCCTCTTGGATAAATGTCGGAGGATCTTCAGATCACGTTGTTCCTGTTAAGCGTGAGAAGAGAATATACCGCAAGCGGAAGCACCAGCGTGCCGGGCTCATGATGAGGAACGGAATATCAGGACTCATCCGAGGAGATAGAACCCTGCTTCCTCTAGTACCGGATATTCTGAGCTCTGACGAGGATCGAAGTTCTAGTATCGGTACCAAGGTTTCAGACGTTGATGCCGACGAAACAGACGATTCCGAGGGGCCGTTTTCTTTCAGGAGAAAGGCTGGTGTTAAGTATCTTGCTCCCTTGGATGATTTCTCCGCGGATCTTGACAGATATGAAAAGTTTCAAAAGTTTTTCCCTGTCGTCGCTCCCTTGGATTTGGGTCGTCAGCCTGAACATCTTGGTTTTTGTCGAAGACGGGTTGGCAGAGGAGGACGAGTTATTCTTGACAGGGTTCAGAGCAAGTGGGAGTCCTGGGATCAGTCTGAGCTCCAGTTCGGAGATGAGAACAGGATCATGCGCCCTCTGACTCCCGACAACATGAAACTAAGTTTCTGGGATCCCTACAAGGTTAGGGATAATGAAGTGTTTTCTCATTAAACCTTCGGGAAATTCCTTTTCATGTAATTTAAAAGGACAAGGATAATCCAACTCTCAAAAGCATAATGTTTTTAACTGGTATTATTTATTATTTTTGTGAGAATTTATTGTACATTTTGAAAACTAAAACTTAACTGTAACTGAACAAAAAATTCTGATGTCTTTGTTTTCGAACCAGAGAAGACTGATTTCTTAACAATTCTTATTTTGTACCTGCATTCTTATATTCAACTATTTATTTTGCTCAATTGTGTTTAATTAAAAATCTATTTGTTGACAATACAGACATTCGTATTTTCTTATTATTATTAAAACATCAATTAATACTTATTGTAAATGTAAATATTTTATCAAAATCATTTTAAGTCGTTAAAATCATCATTTCAGGCGTTACAAGACACACAGGGTTACACACAAAGAATGAGACTTTAATAACGACCAGATACTATTTGTAAATGGCAATTTTAAGGTTCAAACGGGGTTCTTTCCTCGAATAAAGAAGTGGCGCATTATATGGTTTCACAAAGAAAGAAAAATGTTTAGATTTTATGGAACCGTTAATATAAATGAACAGATTAAATTAATTAAAAGTTGGTAACCCTGTAAGAACATTTTACAAATTGATTTCTATTATAAAAAGTGTCACAGTGATACTGTCCTTACTTGCTCGTTCTCTTGAACTATTCAACAACAAAATTGCGGAAAAGGAGATTTTGAAAAATATTTTTGATAATTATGAAACATTTTGATTTCTCGATTCTTAATATTTGTGTTTCCTTCTTGATTGTCTTATACATATATTATAAGTTGCGTGATTCATACTGTAACCTGTACTCTACCTTGTAGCTTTGTAACATTTAGTCGTTTCCTGTAACTCCAGGGCATTTACCTACAGTGTATACTTTCAGATAGAATGGTCGAGAAATGATGCAGGTTAATCTATTTTCTAGTCAGGACAATCTCTCTCCTACTCCCCGGTCCTTGAGCCCCTCCAGCTCCTTGAAGTCCCACTGCATGTCCCTGGAGAATGAACTCTCTGAGGATTTAAACCGCGGAGATCTTCTTAGTGTATTCAACTCAAAACCTCTTCCCACGAATAACAATGAGTTCCCGAAGGATATCTTCACAATCACTCAGGGTAAGATTTAATTAACTAATAATAATTGAAAAAATCTGAAAATATAATTCAGGAAAAACTTTTTATAATGTTTGTTAAGGTCCTGAAAGAATTGTCCCTAGAGTTAAGGAGAGAAGGTTGAGTTGCTCCGATCATCATAAAACCCTTCTCAACGCATCTAAGGAACTCTGCATAGATAAGGTAAAGCTAGAATCAGAATATAAGTAGGGAAATGGGGAGGGGGGTTTCATATGTTCTTAATTTCAGAACTATTCATAGTTTTTTTCAACATCGCATGGGTTTTACTAAGGAAAGATGGTTATGTTGCTTTCTCTTTTCTATAATTTTGATGCAAGTTATCTGTAGTAAGGTTGATAAATATGATAAATATCTAGGAGTTTGTTGATGTGCATATCCAATGCGAAGATGGAACTATTGCGGCTCACGCTCTCATATTGGGTATTTCATCCCCCTTTCTTAGATCTCTTATAGAGAACGAACTTTCATCTAGTATAGACTCCAAGCGTGGAGTTGAACCCATTGTTATCGTTCTTGCCGACGTCAAGGTTAGCCTTATCCAGGTCCTACTGGAGGTACTGTACACTGGATCTGTGGTTACCCAGGAGGGACAGGTTTATGCTCTCATGAAGCTGTTATATGATCTTGCAATTAATATTTCTATTGGTGCGGAGAAAACCAATGTTCCGTCTACAAAATTTGATATAACTCCGGTGACAAAATCTAATAATGATTTCGAGTGTCAATCTTGTCGACCAAGGAAACGATCCAGAATCGACACCTTCGACAGCACTATCAATGCTCTTTTCGACTCAAACAGCAACATACAAAGCTCAAATAATAAAAGTATGCGACTATCATCCCAGGATGGATTGAACCTGTGGGGGAAGTCCGGAGGTCTGGTGGTCAATAGTTTGACCGCTAGCGGAGTAGAGGTGAAGCAGGAACCTGAGGAGAAACCAACCATGTCGGAGGAACGTCAGTACGACCAGTCGGAGTTAAGACAAGCCTTGAAACAAGCAAACTTTAGCCTGAGCAGTAACTCCGTGAATAACAATCAGCTGAGTCACTTCGTGTCAGTAAATCCAGGATACCAGGTAGAGAACTTCATTTAGGGATTTATTCTTCCTTTATGCCGAACCCCCCCCCCCCCCCTACTCTCTCTTAATCTTAAAAGGAAAAAAAGTGATTTAAGGAAAATGTGAATTGGGGCAGCGAGGGTCTCTGCAAAAAGACATAATGAAGTCTCATTTTCCTTTAAATTAAATTCTCCATAGTTTTAATTATAATTGAAGTTTTCTATTATTATTATTATTATTTGATTAATTATTGAAATCTAACACCATATGTTCAGGTTAAGCTAGAACTTCCTCCCAGCTCTAATGTTCAGCTTGGAAATAATTCCCTGGTTCAATCCTCTCCACAAACCACAGTATCAAAGGACTCCTCCAGCTCTGACGATCCTCTGGCTGCGATCATGAATCAGACAATCTTTGGAGGTGAGTAATCTAACTAACAATAAAAAAAACAATAAGACAAATTTTTAAAATAGATTATTAATTTCAAAATATTCCAGGGGACGGATTGAATATGTACATTCAAGTAAGCAACAATGTTTCCTCATTTGTAAACTCAAGTCCTAAACCCCAGCAGCCAGCTCAATCCAAACCTCAGGAGAAAGAGAAGGACGCGGGTTCGGTAACCAACTCTCAGTTCCAGGAGAACCTGGAGGATTTATCCTGTACTCCTGATGATGACGACATCAATACCTCCTACAACTGTGAGACCTGTAACCGAGTAATGAAGGGGAAGGTGATGCTCCAGGCGCACAGGTTTCAGGAGCACCATGAGAACCCGGAGTTTGAAACCTCGTCCTTCCCGGAGGATAAGTTCGCCTGCAGGGTTTGCTTGAAACTCTTCACCAGGAACTCGGACGTCAAGGCGCATATTCTCCGGGTTCATTGTGGAGATAGGAGATATCCTTGCACCCAATGTGGGAAACGGTAATAATAATACTAGAGCCTAAGACGTAATTTCAAGTGATCTTACATTTATAGAGTGATGTCATTTTCTATTTGCGACGGTACCCTTTAAAAATAAAATTTTTTACGTGTTTAAAGGGTAACTTTAATTTACGTCTACGTTCTTCACTCCCTTTAAATCACACTTATTCAAAGCAACAAGTAGATCAAATATATATTGTAAATATTTTTAGGTTTAAAGAATCAACGCATCTGCGTAAGCATCTGTATACGCATACCGGAGAGAGACCTCACTTCTGCAGTTACTGCTCCAAAGGTTTCCAGACCAGCTCCGACCTGAAACGTCACAAGAAAACCCGTGTCCACCAGGAGAGAGTGGACCAGTGCAATGTAGAACGAAATCATTCAAATCCCGAGACTCCAACTGACAAAAGTAATGTTTTTATTTGATATTCTTGCCCTTTGGTCGTCTTTTTTTAATTAGTTTATTCCAGTGCTTAGGATCCGGATACGAATCCGTTGGATCCGCAAGATTTTGGCTTCATGCATCCAGATCCGCAAAAATATGCGGATCCACGGTTCCGGATTCAAGGGGTAAAATATCAACCAAAAACGGCAAAAAAAAACACTATATTACTCCTTAAACCCAAGTCTGAACTTTTGAAGTAAAGAGAGATTAGAAAAATTTCATTATTTCTGAATGGTTCATCAAGTTTTAGGATAAAAATACGCGATAAAAAAATAAAACAAAAAAAATTTAAACTTATTTTTTGTTAAAAAGATTAAGTAAATCTTAAAGAAATTACCTTTTTTCCAGTCCGGATCCAGGATCTGGATCCGAATCCGCATCCGCATCAAAATTAAATGGATCCTAAGCACTGGTTTATTCGTTGGCGGATAATTTTTTACTGTCGTAATATTAGAATATGAACATAAAAAATGTTTTTATATTTTCTTTAATATTAAACCAGTAATGGTTCCCCCTCCCTCACAAAAAGAAATCTTGAAAAAAAAAACAAATAAAATCGACATCAACGTAAAAAAAAAAACAAATAAAATCGACATCAACGTAAAAAAAAACAATGAAATTTCTATTTTATTACCTATTATGAAATTAAAAAAAAATGTTTTGTCTCGTTGCCTGGACCTTGTTCTAAACTAAAAATACTTCAGGTATGGATGCAAATATAGATTTCCAACGGTGGAACGAGGGAGATGAAGAAGATTTAGCGACCACATTAAACTCTCATGTCTCTCCCTCCTCTCCCTTCAGCAACCTCAGTTCTGTTCAGTCCCAACCCAGCACTCCACCCTTCTCCACCATGAACTCAAACAGCAATATTGGTTCTCCTCTCTCCGGGATATCGGGTCAACGCTCCCAACCCAACCTCCCGTTCACAACATCAACATCTCAGTATATTCAGCTCCCTCCTAGGCAGAGCAGTGGTTCACTTGTCTTCAGCTCATCACTCTCCAACCAGACTCATCAGGTTCATTTTGTAACAGATTCTTTACCAAAATCCTCCTGGCAGTCCCAACCCAGCAACTTGCTGCTCCAGAACCAAACCTTATCCGATAATCAAACCCTGAACAATATTGGACTCACCAGCTCACATCTCGGAGATACAATCTCATCCCTGCAAACCCAAAACCTTGGAGTTCAGAACCTGACCCTGCCCAGTACAACCCTAGACCTCTCTGATATCAAGTGGGGGATTCTGGACTCTGCGGTCATCATAAAGAGGTCGGGTTCCTCCGACTCTCCCTTGCAGGAGGAGGAAAGGCTGACGATCCAAGAAGATCTCTAGCGATCAATCACTCTGATGTGTTAAGTACTCACGACTGATATTTCACTTGGATCCAAGTATTAGGGTTCCTTATCTCCATGTATCCGGTTCATATGACTTGGTTAGGATGAGGGGAGAAGGTTTTAGAATCTATATTTGATATACTCTAACATATGCAATGTTGAAGAGATGGAGATGAGTAAAGTACAAAAGTAATCAAAATTGACTCAAACTGATCATTTTATATTTGCATTTCCAGTTATCAGTGCATTCCTATATTCAATATTGTCTAGATCCAACCTGCTCTTTTGGACTTGCATTTCATTTTCATTATTTGGCTTCAAAAAAATTTAACTCTATTTTTATCCTGACCTCTTATTCTGTGCTCAATTCTTAGATATTTTTAAGGAAGAGTTTATATATATATATATAATTTTAGTTCTGCTAGACACTAGTCTCCTACATGTTAATTGTCAAGTTACCATCTTATATTCGAATAATGAATTGCCGTGTGCATGGACTTGAAAGGTTAAAATATTGACACCGACAATTTTGTGTAAATAGTTACTTCTTTCGTCTTGAATTCCTTTTTCACCATCTTACTTTTAAATATTTATCAAACTTGCAAGATTTTAACATCTTTCTCAAACAGATTAAAAGTATTAAATTCAAAAGAAGCATTTCAACAAAATTTAAATTAACACAGGTCTGCCGCTTTAGTAATTGTAAATTGGCGGTACAGAACAAACCTGTGCGTGAAGTTTTCATTTTCCTGCTCAAAATTGGATTATTTTTTGTATGTACACAGTGTACACTGTACAGTAAACCCGTAAAAAAGTACATCACTGATCATGTACTCGTATAAAAATTAATTTTTCCTATAATTTCCTGCTTCCTGCACAGAATTTCTTTTTTTGGATCTTTTTTTAACCACACCCGTAGTTACATATATCTAGAACGGATTTAACTTTCGGTGTGGCATAATCAATTTTTTTTTTAATTTTAATGATTTTTTTACATTTACTTAAGCTATGAGAAAATTTAATGTTTTCCCTTCTACCAATTATATTTCTGATTTTTTTTTTGCTTTGAAAATTTTCCGTATTTTATTTTTAACAAACTAAAATTGTAAATTTAGCACATTCTAAAATTTTATATTAATAATCGAGTTAATTGTTTTATTTTTGTCGATTTATTCAACTGTAAGGAGTGCAGAGGGGTTTTGACGAAGGAATTGAATCTCAATGTTGTTTTTATATTCATAGTTTATATTGATAAAGTATTTATAGGTTTCGGATATATGTATTTTTATATTTTTGTATACTAGAACATTGCAAATAAAATAATTTTATTCAAAATATCAAATTTAACTTATTAGCTTTGTACTATGTTATTATGATTAAAAGGAAAAAATGTAAATTGTATAATTATAAACAGGATGTCCAATAAACATGGGAATTCAGTGACGACTTTTCTATCGTCTTCAATCCATGCGGCATTTTTTCATGAACACAATTATTGAGGCTTAAACATCTAATATCGAAGTAAGATTTTAAAAATGTGGTCTACCATTTTTATATCTTAAAAATTGAAAGAGATCTTGCAAAATTTGTTTCAGTTTATTTTATAAATTAACATAAAATATCTTCGTCACTGTTTAAGATACAAGAAAGGTCTAGACCACTTTATAAAAAGCTCTTTAGCCTCGTTTTTTTCACTTTCTTTCCACGCATTAAATATCGTTAATCAAAGACGACTTTCAAGTCGTCTCTCAATTCCCATATTTATTGGGAACATAGATACGGTTATCCAAAAAGACGTCATTGTAAATTTGTTTTATTTACATTCATTGTTCCCTTCAGTTTTATTGCAAGTTAAAGGGAGTGTTCTTCCAACTTGTTTTCGAACATTCCTGGAAAATATGAAAATGTCGTCTTCATTATCAAAAATCCTCGAAACAGGAATAAATGTTTTTATAAGTAACTCTCAGATCATAACAATTAAAACATATTATGAAAAATCAATTATATTCATTATGTTAATTATCTATATCAGATAAGAATTTAGCATGAGACATCTAGCAGCCAACATATCGTCCCCCAAAGTACGTGAACTACACAACCCCGGATCTATAGAGAGAACGGACTCAGGGTTGTTGTAAACGAAAAAAAGCCTAAATCTTGAAAAAATGACATCTAGTGTTCTATCTGTGTTATTATTAATCTATGTTTTTGGGTGAACGATGCACAATTGCTAGGATTTTACTCATAATAATAAGGTCTCTTTATCTTAAAGGGACTGCAGAGTCGACATATACCTTGTTTTTCAATTTATCTTCGGATTTTCAAAGCACGAAATTTGTTGCCAGTCACGGGGGGCAAAAATCTTGTGAAAATGCGCGTATGGCCAGGCTCCCTGCTGTTCCAGTCGGATCGCTTCACGTACGAGGGTGCTAGAGCGTCGGGAAACTCGTCGGTCGCAGGGTGCAATTTAAACAAAGGAAGACGATCGTACGAAAGTTGTCTAATTCAGGGTTCCTTGTAGATCAAAACGGGCTTATTTCTGTGCTTAATCATTTATTTAAACATCAAAAGACTCTATTGAATGCAGAAACCCAAAATCAAGCTATAATGCATCATAGTTTTAGAGTTTTGGGTCGTCTTTACAGTCTCATCCCTTGTTGGTAAACCTGTATATGTTTTACAAATGAGTCCTGTCGTTGCATGATCTGAACCAGTACGAGTTTTCACAGATCTAGTGTAATCGTATTACATTCTTTACTCCTAACATCCCGTCTAGTAGACCCAACGAGTTTTATGGGTACAACTTGGCTACAAGTGTATGTAATATTAATTCTAGACTGGCTTTACAATTTTCAGGTTATTTTATGCATGAATAGTAAGCCAACTCCAGGACGGGCTAATCATTTTCTGACGAGAAAATTAGATCAATGTTACAAATCAATCTTATTTTCTCAAAGACCAGACCAAATATAATCATTTGATTGTTTTTAACTCAGAACCAGAACCTCGGCGAAATAATTGTGATCCAAAATCAAACCAAGAAAAATCCCGAAAGGTTTAAGAAAATTAAATTTAAAAAACTATCAATTTCTATGTACGCGGGGAAAACCTAAAACTATATTAAACCTAAACATTTTTGTATAAATAAAAATTTCATGATTTATCACAGTTTTCTATTTTTATCAAACACTAGCTCCGGAGGCGTAACTGGATATTTTTAAATGCTTCGCCCCCCCTCCCAGTTGTTCTATGTTTAAAGAACTATTCCTGCAACCACTTTCTTATGAGGACTTTTGTATGTCAAGAGTTCGGTTCCACCACTTTCTTATGAGGACTTTTGTATGTTAAGAGTTCGGTTCCACCACTTTCTTATGAGGACTTTTGTATGTCAAGAGTTCGGTTCCACCACTTTCTTATGAAGACTACTGTATGTCAAGAGTTCGGTTTCACCACTTTCTTATGAGGACTACTGTATATTAAGAGGAATTAAAGTGAAGATTTTGAATAATCTAAAACTCTTTAAAAACCCGATTATTTGCCGGTTTCTCCTAAATATTTGATAGAAACCTGAATATGTGAATATTTTGCTAGAAACCTAGTGAGAACCACTTTTACTGCTTATATATATGGTGTCCCAAAAAAACATGGGAATTCAGTGACGAATTCGATGTCGTCATTTTAATGATTAGTATTGTAATACCTAATGTCAAGAAATATTATAATTTCGCGGTGTATAATAATTCGTCAATGAATTCGCATGTTTTTGGGACACCCTCTATATACAGAGAAGTATATATACATAATACAGGGTTACCCATAAAGGATGAGATTTAATGACGACGAAACTTCCTAATTTGGAAAACCTGCAGGTTAATTTTTTCTTTGGTCTTTAATAGGGTCTGTTGAAGATGTGCTAAATGATAAGGCAAACAATGCAAACAGTTATATATTTATAAATTATAACAAAAATAATACGAAATTCACTGTTTCAGGTGGAAATATTTAAAAACTTCCATGATTAGAGGTTGTGGGAATATTTCCCCCAAATTCTAAAAAAGCTGCAAGGAAGAAAATGGCTCCCAAGATTCAGAACGGTCGTCTCTGAAGTCTCATCCTTTGTGGGTAACCCTGTATATACAATAAAAATACTATATGCGTTATATATACTACACGCGGAAACCTAGATTTATTGCCGATTAATGTCAAGGAATAAAATTAGTCTGAAATTCAAATAGGTTTGTTAAACCATCCGTCATCTCCTAAAGCTCCGGGAACCTAATGCATATGCAGGGGTTCTAACCTCACAAACTATATTCTTGTCATGCCTGGATATAAACTTTTATATCTGTGTTAACAATTAACAATATGTCATTTATACAGGATAGGCGTACACTGCATAATTATTTAAACAATTGAAACAATTTTCTATTTACAGTGGGAGTCATAAGACTGTGGAATTGGCAGACGATTGTTAGATTTAAATTATGATTTCAAATAGTTCAGTGAACATGAATCACAGGAATTGTGTAGTGCTTAGTAAGTTGATTTTTAAGCTACCGATAAATTGATGCTTTCAACATATATACTTGCTTAAATATCGTCCTCCTCTAGTCCCTCTTAATATTAGCCTTGTCTTAGTTCAGGGGACATTAGGTCCTAAACTAACACTTGGCCCACTTCTAACACTCAGTGTTAGAAATGGGCAAAAATTAAACGATTGGGTTTTTGGGATCCCAGCCCATATCCAGAGTAAAGTCGATAGCAAAAACTATAACCAACATTTTATTAAACATGACGAGGACAACAATTCCCAATTTTAAACTTTTTTTTAAAATCAAAATTATAATAGGAGTTCTTTTTATATTAAAACTCTTGACCGTTTTCAAGACAATGTTAGGTTTTCAATTTTTTTTATCCTGAATTTGAAACATTGTCTCGTTTTCGAGACAAACCCCACTTCCCCGTTTTTGAGTATAATCCACAATTCAGAACAAAACTCACTTTCATAACGCACAAAATAAATCCTGAAAACAAAAATTATCTTATGAAGACTAAATAGCTTCTGAATTATTTCTAGAATCTAAGTTTCCACATTTTATCTGTTAAATTAGAAAATATCGATGATTTATTTTCAAGCATTTTAAACAAACAGTTTTCCGCATTTCTAGTCAAATTTATATTGTAAGAAAAAATGATGATTTTGATTTCTC